ATATGATCCAGCAATTCCATTCCTATGAATCTACCCAGAGGACACAAAAAAACCTAATTTGAAAGGAAACCTGTACTCCTGTGTTTTATTGCAGCACTATTTACAATAGCCAAGATAGGGAAACTACCCAGTTGCCCCAAAAATAGGCAATCAAAAAGTTGTGGTATTTTTATACAATGGAATATTACTCAGCGATCAAAAAAGACAAACTCATGCCATTTGCAGCAACATGGATGCAGCTGGAAGCGATTATGCTAGCAGAAATAAGTCAGAAGGAAAAAGATAAATACCAGATGGCCTCACTTATATGTGGAATACAGAGAAACCAAACAAAAGGTCAAGAAAAAGTCAAAGCTAGCAAGCTGACTATAGAACTGAAGCACACAGCAAAGGATGGGGGAGAAAAGGAGGGCAGAATAGGAGAGGGATGAACACAAGGGAATATGGTGATGGTTCACGGGTGAACCATATGGTGGCAGGAGAACTATGGGGACTACAGTGATGTAAGGAAAAAGAAAGAATAGGCAAAACTAATCAAAGGTATGAATCAAGTTGTGGTTACCTTGGGGCCCGGGTACCTCTGGAAACCTGGAGGTGTTCTGCATATTGATCTGAGTGGTGTGTATATGGCGCATATGGACATAACAAGTTGAATTGCACTGTATACTTAAGTTTAGTGTGCTTAGCATACTTACAGAATATATGTTATGCCTAAATTAAAAGGGAAAAAAATAAATCAGGTCATGTAGTATAGATCTGTTGCAGAAGGTAATAGGGAAACATTATCTTCAACGGGGAAGTGATATGAAGAAAGTAGTGCTTCTAAAATTATTCATCCTGTAGTGATGTGGAGAATGGAGCAGTTCAGATAGCTATTATATCTAGGTCATATAGATGCTATGGGGGACATGAAACATGTATGACTTGATCCTTGAACTTCATAAGTTTAGGGTCATTTCTTGGATGAGACAAATTATACAAAACTAAAAAAGTTAACAGGAAATGGCTAATACTTAATTCATGGTATTATGAAAATACCACTAAAGTGAGATCTGAGTGCAAGTCTTAATTCTATGAGTTCTAATTGGTTTTGTGACTTTATTTGAGTTACTTCCCTGGACCTTGGTTTCCTTATCTATAAAATGGGATTAAGAGATCCGATATTCAGATATTGTAAGACAGTACAGGAGACAGTCTGTAAATGTTCCCTTTTTACCAGTGTGTGACTTCAATTTACATCATGGTTCTGCCACTTAACTGAGTAGTGCACTTAAGTAGGTTCACTTCATTTCTTTAGTCTCCATCTCTTCTGAAAAGAAAGGGCAGATAATAACACATTTGAGAGAATGTTATGAGAATTAAGTGGGCCTATCAGATGTACAGTATTTAGAACAAAATATAAAATCCTTTTCTTTTTGGTATAAATAGAATATACAAATGTGTGGTACAAATAATGCAGTTACTGGATCAGGGTAGTGATTATGAGGTGGAAAAAGAAGAGGAGAGGCAGTGTTACATTTTTTAAAATTGATGCCATGGTGTTATATTTTTTTAAAATAGCGTATTTGGTTTAGAAAAGGAAATACTTTGTATATACTCTTACCCTAGCGAAAGTATCTATACTTCTTTTTGCCTTTCTATAAGATGAAAATAATATAAAATATTATTGGAGTGTAATGATGCTAAGTTGAAGATATTGTGACACCATTAGAAATGTTATGATCTCCCAACCCAAAAAATGGTATCTTACTACAAAAAGTTATTCCTGTTCTAGTATCGCCTTTCACTGACATTGTCATCCAAATTTCAGCTGAAAAGTTGATGACTTTTTTTTTTTAAAGACTTATTTATTTATTTATACAAGCACTGGGTACAGTCAGAAGCGCGGGAGGGTGAGAGAATTCACCAGAACCAGAGCAGAGAGTAGAACAGGCAGACTGACTAAGTACACTGCTGAGGGGAGCAGCGGGCGGCAGGAGGGGTCTGCGTGCCATGTGGAACCCTCACCAGGCGGTGGGGGATCAAACTGGCGTTGCAGAGGCTGCGGGCAGCTTTGCAGCCCAGCGCTCAACCGCTGCGCCACCAGGGGACGCCCCATAGGTTGTGTCTTAACCCCTTGTGCCACCAGGGAGGCCCCTCTCTCACTGTTTTTAAGGTATTCCTTCCTTGTCTTCTAGTTCCCAGTGCTGCTGGGAGAAATCACATTCCTTCTCATAACTGATGATTGGATGTGACTGTCATTCCTCTACTCTACAAGCTGAGAAGATCCTTTCTTTATAATTGATGTTCTGACAGTTCAAGATGAAGTACCTTGGTGTGGATTTACATTCAGTCGTCTTGCTGGTGCTCTGTAGCTCCTTACAAGCTAGATTTATGGGCTCAGTGCAGAAAATGCTTCTTGTATCCATCTATTGATAATGTCTTTTCAATTTTCTCAGTTGTCTCCTTCTGAAAACTTCTTTTTTTTTTTTTTTGAAGACACATATCATTTTTATTTCACTTTTAAAGTGAACATGTGTTTTTTTTTTATAATAAATTTTATTTTTATATTCCCCATACAATTGCAACCCCCCATTCTGACCCCAATCCCTCTCCTCCCGCCCCCTACCCCCCAAAAAGTGTCTCTGGTTCATAGTTTCTTGTTGATTTTGATTTTCACTTTCTTATAGTTATTCATTTTCCTGGTCCCTTATTTAAGTTTTCTAGATTCCTGCTATGAGTGAGACCATCCGGTATTTTTCTTTTTCTTTTTGGCTTATTTCACTGAGCATGATCCCTTCCAGTGCCATCCATGTTGCTGCAAATTGCATGTGTTTATCTTTTTTGATTGCTGAGTAATATTCCATGGTGTATATGTACCACATCTTCTTGATCCAGTCATCTATTTTTGGGCATTTGGGCTGTTTCCAAAGCTTAGCTATTGTAAACAGTGCTGCTATAAACATAGGTGTGCAGGTGCTCTTTGGAATTGATGTTTCTGTGTCCTTTGGGTAAATACCTAGGAGTGGAATTGCTGGATTATATGGAAGCTCTATGTTTAGTAGGTCAAGAAATCTCCACACAGCTCTCCATAGTGGTTGGACCAGTTTGCACTCCCACCAACAGTGCAGGAGAGTTCCTTTTTCTCCACACCCTCGCCAACATTTGTTGTTGCTAGTTTTTTTAATATGTGCCATTCTCACTGGTGTAAGATGGTATCTCATGGTAGTTTTGATTTGCATTTCCCTGATGACAAGTGATGTTGAACATTTTTTCATATGCCTGTTGGCCATTTGCATTTCCTCTTCAGAGAAGTTTCTTTTTAGCTCTTCTGCCCATTTTCTGACTGGATTATTTTCTTTGTTGTTGTTGAGTCTCATCAGCTCTTTGCAGATTTTTGTGATCAGTCCTTTATCATTAGTGTTGGGTGCAAAAATGTTCTCCCAGTCAGTGGGGTTTCTCTTTGTTTTTGTTATTATCTCTTTTGCTGTGCAGAAGTTCTTTAATTTGATGTAGTCCCAGCTGTTTATCTTTGCCTTCACTATCACTGCTTTGGGTGATGTGTCTGTAAAGATGTCTTTGATGTGCAAATCACGTAGTGTTTCGCCTATATTTCCTTCTATATATTTTATGGTTTCAGGTCTTATGTCTAGTTCTTTAATCCATTTTGAGTTGATTTTTGTGTATGGTGTGAGGTAGTGGTCAAGCTTCATTCTTTTGCATGTAGTGACCCAGTTTTCCCAGCACCATTTATTGAACAAACTTTCTTTGCTCCAATGCATAGTCTTTGCTCCTTTGTCAAAGATTAGTTGACCATAAATCTGTGGGTTTATTTCTGGATTTTCTATTCGATTCCATTGGTCTGTATGTCTGTTCTTGTTCCGATACCATGCAGTTTTGATGATTATGGCTTTGTAGTATAGTTTGAAGTCTGGGAGTGTGATGCCTCCATTCCCTTCTTTCTTTTTCAGGAGAGCTTTGGCATTTCGGGGTTTTTTGTGATTCCATATGAATTTCATCAATAATTGTTCTATTTCTTTGAAGAATGACATTGAAATTTTGATTGGAATAGCATTGAATCTGTATATTGCTTTTGGTAGGATGGCCATTTTAATAATGTTTATTCTTCCAATCTATGAGCAGGGGATGTCTTTCCATTTCTTTGTGTCTTCTTCTATTTCTTTTAACAGTGTTTTATAGTTTTCTTTGTGTAGGTCCTTTACCTCTTTTGTTAGATTTATTCCCAAATATTTGATTTTTTTTGTTTCAATGATAAAAGGGATGGTTTTTTTGATTTCTTCGGAAAGTTGATGACTTTTCTAAGAGTAAGACCCTATCACAATCAGAGGAAACCCTAGATGTATAAAGACAAAGAAATCCATTTATAAAGTATGTTATATTTGTCACCTGAAAAATAATCAGCAGAGGGCCTCCCTGGTGGCGCAAGGGGTTAAGACGCATCACTATGAAGCTGTCCGCAGCCACTGCAGCATGTGTTCTATCCCCAGCCAGGGAGCTACCCATATGGTGCAGCAGACCTCCCCTGACTCGCCTGCTACTCCCCTCAGCATTGTATTTCAGTTAGTCTGCCTGTTCTGTTCCCTACTCTGTCTCTGGTGAATCCTCTCACCTCCCACACCTCTGACCTGTACCCTGGTTCTTGCATAAATAAATAAATCTTTAAAAATAATAATAATCAGCAGAGCAGCAGCCCAGGTTTTGTTGGGTATCAGTGATGAGCAGTCTTTTGACTAAGGAAGTTTAATTTGCAGGGCAAATACAAAGCACTAAATATTAACATTTCAGGATTGTATTATTCAGAGTGTTTATTTGAGAACTTACAAGTTGATTGATATCAAATCCTGGACATCAACCTTATTTTTGGAACTTAATAGATTTCCTGTGATAGTTCTGGTTTGAATTCAGCCATTGATTCCTTATTTCCCACCCTTGAGGAAAATGAAGATGTGAAAAATGCCATTCCCCCATAGCCATTACTTACCTGTCTTACTCTCTTCCAGATATTCCGAGTGGTGTGCATCTGCCTAGGAAATCCACCAGAGACATTCACCTGGGAGTATCGAGACAAAGATAAAAATTATCAGAAGATTGGCCCCATAACACCCTTGGAATTTTATAAGGAACATGTCAAGCCACTATTCAATATGGAAGATAAGGTTGGAGGCTGGAACTGGCAGCCACTGGCTATTAACTTTCAAATGCCTGTTGACTCCCAGGAAGGGTGTAAGATTCCTGGGTTAATATGCATGATCATCAAAGCTAGACACTAAATAAAATTTTTCTTCCTTCCTCTGAGGTATTGTATGCTCCAAATAAAATGGTCACATTAGGACTTATCTTTCCTAATGCTTTTTTCAGAGATTTCTAAGTGTAGGCCAGCAGTCAGTTTAATTCCCATATGCTCTCCTGATTTGGGCCCAGAATCATTCTCAGGTGCTAAGACAATCAAAATGATTTGTGTATTTCTTCCCATGGGTTCAGAGTACCTCTGTACTGTGGACCCTTCTTGGGATTCTGGTAGAAGGGAACAGTGTCACTTCCTAGTCTTTCCTGCTATCTTTAGTTTTTTTCCACCTACCTAGCAAGATGATCAGAATTCCCTTTCTTTGTTGGTATTTGGAATCTCTTATAAGCAAATGACTTTGTTTTATTATTGTAATCTCAGACTGGCTGCGGTATTATTGCCAGGTCTAAAGCCTGTCTTATTAACTTGAGAGCAGGAATCTTATAGTGATAGGCTTTCCATCTTGTCATATTCAGTGCTTGCAATTTTTCAAATGAGTTTTGGACAAATCTTGCCAGTAGGAAAAACAGATTGGTACAGTTCCCAGATGTATGCTTTGCACTAATTAGAATATGCAAGAACCTCTATCACATAACTGCCACCTTTTGTTCTTTGTTATATTAGCAGTGTAGTTGTAATGCTTATCCTTATAGTCAGAGTGGGTGAACTTTATGCAAACAAATGAACTTAGAGGCGAGCTGTTTGTCTTGCTTGACATTTCCTGCTTTTGTGGTCTAATCAGCATGTTCTTAATCTCAATAGATTTGTTTAGTGAATGACCCTCGACCCCAACACAAGTACAACAGACTTTACACAGTGGAATACCTAAGCAATATGGTTGGAGGGAGAAAAACTCTTTATAACAACCAGCCCATTGACTTCTTGAAAAAGATGGTTGCTGCCTCCATCAAAGATGGAGAGGTTAGTGTTGTTTCTCTTATCTTCCCCATTGGAAGTTAAGCCTTTTCTTCTACTTGTTTAGTGTAATAGGAAGATAGGATTTATGTTGACCTACTATCTTCCTCTTTCTTCTGCTTCTAGGCTGTGTGGTTTGGCTGTGATGTTGGAAAACACTTCAATGGCAAGTTGGGTCTCAGTGACATGAATGTGTGAGTAAGAGAAATTTTAAATAGTCATTTGGGTTGTTGCTTTTGGAGTGCACTCTTGGTACAAAATGATTCAACTGAGGTTCACCCAGATTAAGGTCAACCTGAGGGTGGATCTCTTTTTTCCATCCATAGTTTGAGGACTCAGAGTAGAAACTCCACATACTTACTGCTCTAATGTGGGAAATCAAGATCATATTTTATATTAGAGTTGAAATTGTTGGTGTTCCTAAAAAGCCATCCACATGAGAAAGACATTAAAGAAATAATTGTTGATTGTGTAGATAAACCCAGTACATTTGGAAATGTAATGAAAGGCTTTCCAGGTTTCTTGTTGCTATTTGATCCTTTTTAACTACTTATCTTTGTTTGATGCCTTATTTATTTTGTCTCTATGACAACTAGGATTAATTTGCATACATGTTTTAAAGCATTCCTCCTGGCTAGCTATAACAATGAATATTCACTTGTGAGCTAAATCAAAGAGAATTCCCTGTTAAAATATATTTATTACCTATAAGTGATTGTTACTTGTAAGAAACTGAGTTAACTAGAATAGAGAATAACTTTTTTTAACTTTGAAAATATTAAAGAATATTTTGACATTTTTTCATTTAAATTTCACAGAAATGGTCTGAGTAAATTCAGAAATTAGGTGATTCTGCCAACTTAAGAGGGATATTTTTTGAAAGAAGTCACTTTAGAAATTTTTTAAAAAATTTTTTGCCAAAAGGACAAGGCAAGCTTATCCTGTCAGCACTTTGATATGGAGAATGTATATTTAACCATTTAATATTTTCCTAAGTACTGTTTGACACATAGGGAATGGAATCCCATTGAGAAACTAAATTCTGCATGTACCATATTCTCTGAAGAGCTTTTTACTTATTTGGAGCTCTTGAGCCCCTTGAGTTTCTTCACTATTCCCTTTACAACCAGAATCCAGTTTCCTTCCATGATTATACTCTCTCCACTTTTTCCACAGTTATGACCATGAGTTAGTGTTTGGTGTCTCCTTGAAGAACATGAGTAAAGCCGAGAGGTTGACTTTTGGTGAGTCACTTATGACCCACGCCATGACCTTCACTGCTGTCTCAGAGAAGGTATGACCCTCAGCATGCCTACTGCAGTGTTTGCACAGATGGACCTACATTCTCTTGCAAACTGTTTATCCATTAGCACTTCAGTCATAGTGTATATGATTTCTGTTAAAAGTTAACTTCCAAGCAAGACATTGTGCCAGCATCAAATGGGGCTTGGCTGCAAGTACAGGGGAGATAAAGATAGAACTTTCCATGAGGAGCAGATTTTTAGTCAGCAGGGTATAAAGAAGTAACTGCTTTACTGTAACTTTGGAAATTCCTGGTATGAAGAAATGTCAGCAAGGGAACTTGGGAGAAGATAACTTCTACTTAATAAGGAATTAAAATGTGGCCTGAAAGGTTCATAGCTTGATGACTAATGTTCAGACTTTCCTTTCACTTGTCATTCAGCTCCTTCTGCAGCAAAATGTCAATACCAGTAATTTGTGGGACTCCTTACCTACTACTGGAATTAAGCAGATTTAAGGAAATTTGATATAAAGTATTTTGAAATTCCTGTGAAATAATCTGAACAGTAATATCACATTTTTAGGATACATTATTAGAAATAATAAGTGAAATTTTAAGTTTTACAAATAAGCCTTCCCATTTCTAGACTATGTAATGGATATTTTACCCCTGGGCTTAGGGATCATAAGACTTCAGCTACTTTAATTCTTTACCACCATAAGCAAAAATATTCTTTTTTAGCCTAATTGCAGGAAAGAACGTTACAGAATAACTACCTTGACATTAAAAGGAAAGCATTGGAAGGACATTTACAAGGTTAAAATGCTAAGTAGTTCAAATTTATAAGTTTAGACCTGTTAAATTGTAAAATTCAGTGTTAGCTAAAGCTCTTAAAAGTTAAACTTTTAAACTATTTAGATTATTAGAAAACAAACTAAAGCCTTACCATTTCTAAGAACTCGACTTTTTATGATTTTTCCATTTCTTTTTTTTTTTTAAGATTTATTTATTTATGCATACAAGAACTGGGGTATAGGCCAGAGATGTGGGGGAGGGTGAGAGGATTCACCAGAGACAGAGTGGGGAACAGAACAGGCAGATCCACTGAAATACACTGCTGAGGGGAGCAGTAGGTGAGCCAGGAAAAGTCTGCACCATGTGGGTAACTCCCTGGCCAGGGATCGAACTCGTGCTACAGTGGCTGTGGACAGCCTCATAGGCTGCGCCCTAACCTGCCCCACCAGAGAGGCCCCATTTTCTATTTCTTATGGAATGTTCCTGTTTTTCAGAAATAGAAGTCACAATATACTCTGTGTCATTTACTCTGGAGCTTCCATTCTTTGATTGGCATAGTTTATCCACATGCCATATTTTCCTTAGGGAAATGGAGCTACCTTCCATGTTAATAGTATGAAGTGGGGGCCTCCCCTGGTGGTGCCGCGGTTGAGCGCTGGGCTGCGAAGCTGCCCGCAGCCTCTGCCGCGCCTGTTCGATCCCCGGCCACTAGTGAGGGTCCCACATGGCATGCAGACCTCTCCTGCCACGCCCGCTGCTCCCCTCAACAATGTGTTTTGTCAGTCTGCCTGTTCTGTTCCCCGCTCTGGCTCTGGTGAATTCTCTCACCCTTCTGTGCTTCTGACTGTACCCAGTGCTCATATAAATAAATAAATAAATAAATAAATCTTTAAAAAAAAAAAAGTATGAAGTGGGATTTACATTTTTTTTAAAGATTATTTTTATTTATGTATACAAGAGCTGGGGTGTAGGCCAGAGGTGCTGGAGGGTGAGAGGATTCACCAGAGACACAGCGGGGAACAGAACCAAAGTACACTGCTAAGGGGAGGAGTGGGCAATTCAGAAGAGGTCTGCTGCACCATGTGGGTTGTTCCCTGGCCAGCTGGGGATTGAACTTGTGCTGCAGTGGCTGCGGATTGCTTCATAGGTTGCATCTTAACCCCTTGCGCCTCCCTGGGATTTACATTTTTATGACCAGAATTTTGCATTGAAATTTTTCTCTTCCCTCTACTTCAAGTTTTTGACCACTAAAACTAGTTTGCACTGCTTTTGAATGATAGTGCGAAAGTAAATGCGAGTAGTGCTATTTCAGATACTCTTTCTTGTTGATTTTTTTGGAATCTCTATGTGGAAGGTCCAGGTATTATTCTTTGTAGATGACACAGAAAACAGCTTGATTGAGGTCTTGCAGGAATTCATTGGCAAAGTGAAAAAGAAGAAACATTTTCAGATTTATTATAATAAATAACTTAGGTGGGCCTCCCTGGTGGTGCAAGGGGTTAAGTCTCAGCACTCTGAAGCTATCAGCAGCCACTACAGCCTGAGTTCCATCCCCGCCAGGAAGCTAACCCACATGGTGCAGCAGACCTCTCCTGTCTCACCCACTGCTCCCCTTAGCAGTTTATTTCAGTCAATCTGCCTGTTCTGCTCCCCATTCTGTCTCTGGTGAATCCTCTCACCCTCCAACATCTCTGGCCTACACCCCAGCTCTTGTATGCATAAAGTAGTAAATCTTTAAATAAACAAACAAACAAATAAATAAATAAGCAAGTTTAGGTGATACAGATTCTGACAGTGATATTTAAAAAAAAAAAAAAGATGGATTACAAATGAGGTGGGGGTGGGTAGAAACCCAAGACAGACATTTAATAGGGCCGCAAAATGTATATCTTACTGAATTATTTTGAAGGTACCTTTAAATGGTTTTAAATGGTGTTCACTGCTTTTACTAATTTGTTATTTCATTTTTCTTAGCCAAATAGTATTTTAACATGCTTATTTTCTGTTTAGAGTGGAATATAAAGGAGAAAATAGTTATTTGTTGCTTTGTTAGGTTTATTGCATTTTTCCCTCAAGAAATTCAAACTCTACTTCTATTAGAGTAACCTTTTAGTTATGGTGAAGATATATGGCCCTGATCATGTCTATCATGGCCACATAGAAAAGGCTGTTTCTTCTGAGTGACAAAAAGAGAGCTAGAATTACATGACACCTCAGCAGGAGAGATTTATTTCAGACTATACGCTGTCATTCACTCTTTTTTTTGCAGGATGATCAGGAAGGTACATTTGTGAAATGGAGAGTGGAGAATTCATGGGGTGAAGACCATGGCCACAAAGGTGAGCTTAATCTGATAACATTAACTCAAGCTGACTTGGGGTCTGCTCAGCTATCTGTCTTCTAAGAGATATCGGTAGAAAGCTGTCCTGGTGTGGAACGTTTCTCAGTAATTGGTCCCATTTGGCTAGCTATTTTAGAGAAAAATCTGAGCATCTAGTTTGCCCCTAGGATGACCATCATGATATACCTAGACCCCTAAGTTCATGCTGAGATAAGTATGTGTTAGCATTTGTTTTATATGCCATGAGTAGTCATGAGTTATAGTAATTAAGCTAAAGAAAAAAATAACACAAGTAATGTATAAGTTGTAGAAAAATTTAAAATATGCTCAAAGAAAACGAAAATCTCACCCAGAGGTCACCATTGAGTTAACATTTTATTAACATTTTGTTAAAATTAATTAATAATTTATTCTTGCAAACTTTTTTTTTTAAGGATTTATTTATGCACACAAGAACTGGGGTACAGGCCAGAGATATCGGGGGGCGAGTGAGAGGATTCACCAGAGACAGAGTGGGGAACAGAACAGACAGAGTGGGGAACAGAACAGACAGACTGACAAAATACACTGCTAAGGGGAGTAGCAGGCGAGACAGGAGAGGTCTGCTGCGCCATGTGGGATTCTCGCCGGCCAGCCGGAATCGAACCCGCACTGCAGAGGCTGCGGACAGCTTCACAGAGCGGCACTCAACCACCTGTGTGGTGGCATTTTATAGTAGCTCTTCCCAAAGCCCATATTCCTGAGTTTTAGCCAGTGGATTCTGACTAGAGAAAACACATTACCACAGCTTTCTGTGGTAAATTTACCACAGCTTTCTGTGGTAAAATTTGACACTTAGATCAAATTTTAGCATACATCTCAGCCAAGCAGGAATCAGGCAGGCATTTTCTTTTATAAAAAGAAAATAGTGATTTCAGCAGCCATGCTTCTGTGTTCAGAATAGTGATTTTCCAATTATGTTCATCAGAGTTCCATGATTTCCAAGGATAAAAGGTGGAGGAGGAAGGGTGTGAAGATTTGGAAGTGAGCAGGTGGGGCTTTAGCCTTTTTTAAAAAAAAGATTCATTTATTTATACAAGAACTGGGGTACAGGCCAGAGGCATGGGAGGGTGAGAGAATTCACCACAGACAGAGCGGGGAGCAGAACAGGCAGATGGACTGAAGACACTGCTGAGGGGAGCAGCGGGTGAGTCAGGAGAAGTCTGCCACGCCATGTGGGTATCTCCCTGGCTGGCTGGGTATCTCCTTGGCTGGCCGGGAATCTAACCCGCACTGCAGATGCTGCGGACAGCTTCACAGCATGGCGCTCAACCCACTGCACCACCAGCGAAGCCCCATTTTTTTATTTGAAAACTATTGTCTTTGAAGACTATATTTGCCTTGTTTTGAAGTTGAGAGCACTTGAGTGTGCTGCTGACTGAGCAGTGCAGGCTGGTAAAAACCCAAAGGCCATCTACTCTGTCGTTCTAAGTCTTTGATTTCTCTGTGAAACCATCAATGGTGGATTTTGGCTAACTATACCTGGCTGTGCTCTGAAACTCAGCAGCTCTGTTCCTACGTAAATAAATACAGGTACTATTAGTTCATTTTTATTCACCAGATAGCTTCAAGTCTGCTTTCTGTGGTTTCTGTTACTGTTCTGTGGTTATGGGATGCTTAGTTAAATTAACTATTATGAATTAAATTGCAACATACTTTTAAATAGGGTGAATGTTTTTGTAAGACAAATACACATAAGGAACAATTAGAAAGGGGTATAAACCTTAACAAAACTAGCAGAAAGATGAGAAATATACTCATAGTTGAGTTCTATCTACAAATGGATGCAAGGGAATAGTTTATCTTGAGTAGAAAGGATTTGATATTTGTTATATTTTAAAATATAAGCTAATGCTTCAGATGAACTGCTGTAGCTTCTGTTTCACTTTGGTCTAACTTCATCCCTGTAGTTTGGTTTGTTATTATAAAGGTTAGCCTAAGAAAAGGATTGAAGTTAAAGTTATAGTTTATTTAAGCCTAGATATGTTGGCTTGCTTTTGTGGTAATTTTCTATCTGTAATAGGTACTGAGTTTGTAGCTAGTAAACATTTAAGAGGGGATGAACATTTATAAAGTCAGATGAATACTCTGTTTTGTGCAGTATAAGTTATTGCTTTAAACCTAAATACTCTTAAAGAGGATTCTGGACCATTTTGCTATTTTTTTCCCCATTAAACTGTTCCTCTTCACTCCAACTCAATTAAAAGTTTCTTTTTTTTTCCCAGCTCACTCAGTCATTCCATTATTATATTGTGACACCTGGGGTCTTGATCCCTATGATCTGCCTGTAATCCTTACAGTGAAATCTGCAGCTGTGTAGTTAAGATTAAATTTTTGTTGTTCTTAAATAACTGAAATACCTGAGACTATACAGAGTAAAGCATTTCCGCAGAGAGCCAAAAGATAAGAAATTGAGCAGAGGGAGAGGGGAGGGTAAGGACTAGTTCATTCAAAGCCAAAATAAATTATTCTCATGTATTTCTTCGTAGTGTTCGGACTTAACAGGAAGGAAGGAAAGAAAACATGATCTAATTTAATTGGCACACTTGCCTGACCTTAGGAGAGTGCGTAGTATGTTATTATGCTGGCAATGTGTGTTTACCCCAGCAGGGCCCTCCTGTTTGTCATCCTGGTGGACATGGACGGGCATATCTCAGGCAGCACTTATATTTGTGCTCTCAGGAGACGTGACTGCCTTCAATAGCACTGCTGGGATTTTGTTTCTGTAGATAACATTGTTAACAATTTGTTACTATTCTCTCTGGGGTTTCTGCCTGTTAAGATGGATGGTTTCTGAAGAATCAGTGTTGATAATACAAACTAGAGATAAACAGAGCAGAGATACCTGGGCACGCTGCCCTTGCTTTCTTTCTGCCCAGTCCTGTCTTTGGCTTTCCCACTGGTCATATCCATGGCCCTGCCTGACATAAGTAAATCGAATAAGCTATTTTTGCAAAATTGGCAAAGGTTCCTTCTCATCATAAGAGACACAAGAGGAGAAATTAATTCTCATTTTACTAAACCAGTTGGGTAACTATATGTTGGTGAATCCTAGTATTTTTTGTCTGTGGACTGAAAATGTATTATATAGCATGTTGTACAACCAACATGACTTTCTTTCATCCCCTAGTTGTTAAAATACGTGCATTTTGTACCTGCTTGTAGATCATATCAGAAATGGATTTCGCAATAAGATGAGGAAACCTTGGGTCTTGTTACATTGTCTTTAACTTCAAAAAGTTGATAGGCTTGTTTAGGGTAAAATAATTTGTAAAATATTCTAAAATTTAATATAAGAGAAATAACCTTTGGTTCTTCTCACTTTTAACCAGAAGTTCATATAAGAAGAGCATACTCTTTAAACCAAAATAATAGGGCCAGAATTATAACACAGCCTCTAGTCTGGGTTATAATTCTAGATACTAGAGGCTGTTTTCTTAACCACTAAACTGTGCTTCCTCTCAATCTTTCTGTTCTTGTAGCATCTAGTTCACTCATGGAAATAACCGATCAATTTTTTTTTTTTTAAGATTTATTTATTTATTTATTTATACAAGCACTGAGTACAGTCAGAAGCACGGGAGGGTGAGAGAATTCACCAGAGCCAGAGCCGGGAGCAGAACAGGCAGAAGGACCGAAATACACTGCTGAGGGGAGCAGCGGGCGGCAGGAGAGGTCTGTGCGCAATGTGGGACCGTTGCCCAGCAGCCGGGGATCAAACTGGCGCTGCAGAGGCTGCGGGCAGCTTCGCAACCCAGCGTTCAACCGCTGCGCCACCAGGGAGGCCCTAACCACTCAATTCTTAATCTTTAGTGACCAGAAACTGGTAATTGAGGAACATAAACCCATATAAAGTATCTGGAGACATTTTGTAAATGTGTGAATCAGGAGAAAGGGCTCTTAGAGCACCATTCAGGGCTGGGATCTGAAGAGGAAAGATGGCATCTTGAGGGTTTGTGTCCAAAGTTAGTGCACTGTGAGTTGCATAGTTGTAAAGAATTATGCAACCACCCCAAATTTCCCAGAATCCTTTTGTCCAGGCTGCTTTTATAACATGGCTTTCCTTTTTTCCTTAACTTAATCATGGACAATTTCAAAATATATAAACAGAAGTGTTAAGGAACCTCCCATGTACCCATGATCCTGCCATACAGAGTTTTTTTTTTTAAGATTTATTTATTTATTTATACAAGCATTGGGTGCAGTCAGAAGCGGAGAAGGGTGAAAGGACTCACTAGAGACAGAGCGGGGAACCAAACAGGCAGACTGACGAAATACACTGCTGAAGGGAGCAGTGGGCGCGTCAAGAGGTCTGTCATGCCATGTGGGACCTTTGCCAGCGGCGGGGGATCGAACCGGCGCTGCAGAGGCTGCGGGCAGCTTTGCAGCCCAGCGCTCAACCGCTGCGCCACCAGGGGAGGCCCCATACAGAGTATTTTTGATAGTCAATAAATCATGTTTGAATGATCTCCCGAAAGCCCCTTACATTTTTATGATTGGTTCACTTAGTCATGAGATTGTTCCAGTTCTAAAATCTGATACAACAGAGCTCTGAATGTGGAATTATCATAACAGTTCTAAGTGCTTGTTTTATCTACTTTCTTAATATGCTAAATTACTATGGTTAAGTCAGAGCAGGGGAGTATTATTTTTTAATCCTGCAGTGATTACTGAAGGAAAATTTTATCTTTTAAAATTCTTTCTCTCCTAATTTTTGTTTTGAACCAGGTCGGTTTTTCATGTCTCAAATTGCGTTTGTGTCTTGCAGCTACATGAACATTTAAAATTGTTTTTAATCCACATTTTCATCTTTTCTTATGAATGAGCCTGTGTTCTGATTCTACTTTAGTAAAAGTTCCATGCTTCCTCCTGAAAGGGGGTCTTTTAACGCTTTCAGCTAAAGAGATTTTGGTATGTTAGAGATTAATATAGAAAGAAATTTATGTGGCTGATTCAGAT